ACAACAGTTTATTTACACTCCCACACCTATGTTCCAGCGTAACACAGGGATGGCAGACGGTGCAGGAGAACCTTCTAGACAGGAGCAAAAAGGACAAAAGTAAGAAAGATAATAAGCAAAAAGCATAAAATATGCTTACCAAAAGTGATCTAATTGTGAAGTTTATCCCTTTTGTAGTGTTTGAAATGGTTTCTACACATTATTTAAACAATGCTTCCCAGAAAACAGCATTTGTAAGATGGAGAGTCAACAAGAAAGTATCAGAGAAGCCCAATACCTTTCTATCTCCACTTACAAGCAATCCCTGCAGTGCAGCGGAGTGCTGAAGTTAAGGGAGTACTGGCCAGCCTGAGTGTAGGATGCTCAGTGAGAAGCGGCCATTACATCTGTTTGGCATTAACCTCAGGCAGAGAAGAGCCCCGAAACCCAAAAGCCAAAAGGCTTGCAAGGCCAGAGAGCAAGCTGGACTGTCAGGACATCCCACAGCATGTTAAGCAAGCCAGCGCCATGTGCCCATGTGAGCTGCCTCCCCCCGGGGAATTCAACTCACCTGAGTCATGATGACACCCGGCCCCTGGGCCATCAAACTAAACAGAGTGAACCCCAGGCCCCCGCAAGCCGCCCACAGGGCAAGAACCGCCTCCGAGAACGGCCTGGGGTCAGCATGGGTGAAGGTGAGCCTCACCGGCGTCACTTGTGTGGGTGTGGGGGAGGGCAGGCAGGCGGAATTCAAGAGGGCGGCCAGGCGCTCTGGATTTATGCTTGCCAGAAGGCCTTGTCTGCCGGCACAGGCAGAAGCAAACACAAGGTCATTTCAGCAGCCATCAGCCTGGCCTCAGATGACATTCAGCAAGCCAAGAACTGCCGACCACAGATACTGACCACCGTCCCCTGCCTGGACAGCCGATGGCTGCCCCAGGCATTTATTTCATCAAGACCTCAGCTGAGGGAGAGGGAAAGATGACCCGGGAGAAACGGTCTGCTTTCCGTGCCCTGCGGTCCAGCTGGTATTCGTATTTGTATCAAAACTTTCTTTGAAGTTTTGTACACTCAAGTTTGCAAAACAACTAATCAGTGTATACAGTCTTTGCCATGGTTTCTCCATCAGCGGTACTATTTTCCCACAAGAGAAATGAACTCAATGTCCTCAATTAGGCCGGACAACACCTTACCCCACACCTACTGAACACCGTCCCAACGCCTGCCTTAACTCCAGCCGTCACTGTCCACACTGGACGAGCTTCCTGGCTTCCTTATTTGGATCATTCTTTTCAATTGTCTTCGATCACTAACAGGAGCACAGAGCTATACCACCACCAGAACTAGACTGTAAATGCAGAATACATGTGACATGGTGTTATAAAGTTTTACAGAAGGCAACCCATAAACAAGGAGCAAAATTGAGACTGTGATTCAATATTAAAAATTACAGTTTTGTTGTCCATGAGAAGTCATCTCTTTTAGTGCCAGTGGGGTACACCTTATACTTTGGGGAAAACTAAACTAAATGGATAATGATACGGTACTGTGATGTAAGTCAAATTACAGCATAGACTATAAGATTCAAATTACTAACGCTTGGGCAGGTTTCATGATGCATTAAGAAAGTCTGCCCTAGATTCTTGGAGAGCAAAATCCTATTGTGGAGTGAAGCTTTCTCTAACACAACCAGAGGCCGCGTTCCATGAGCAGCTAGGAACGGGGAAGAAAACACCTAAACACACTTTCTTTGGCCATCTGTCTGAAATATAAACAGAGAACAACTCACCAAGTTAGGACATGAAAACTCTGTCATTTTCCTCAGCATTCAGTTCTTGCCAGAAGCAGAGCTTTCCTTCACAGAACACAGCCCGGGGTATGGAGAGGAACCCAAAGGGACCCAGCGCTGACTCCTTTCTGCCAACCTCAACTACTGCTGTGGATCTCCTCTTCCTACCTCAGAAAAACCCTCACAGCCTAGGGAACCCATCAGTACCACTCTCCTCTTCCTCTCCCTTTCCCTCTCGGCCCTCTGCATTCTTCTCCACACGGCACGTGATCCTCGTGACTTCCTGCCTGAACTATCAGAGCAGAGCCACCAAGGTCAGGTCAGCTTTAAAGGTGTGGGCAGCATTGCACAGCCCAGGAGGTAATCCTGGGAGAGCTCCTCTGCCTTTGGGGGAGGGAGGAGCAAAACTTGGCTCGCCTAAGCAAGCTCACACCAGGAAAGGTCTGATTCTGCTCCTGGAACCACGCAGAGGCGCCGCGGTCAGCTCCATCCAGGGAAAGCCTGGCGCTCCCTGTATACTGGACTGGACAGTGCAGCGCGAACTCGAACGCGCTCCGGAGGGGTCCTGTGCACGCTGGCCAGGGTGACTTCTAGGGCGCTGCGGCGGGCCTGTGTCCGTGCACGGGGCTGGGGCTCGAAGCAAGGCCGCAACCCGACCCCGCCCCTGGAATCTGCATCTCAACCAACACTTGGTGGTCCAAAGAGCCGGGAGTCGTCTCACACCAACGCTTCCCCGGCTCCTTTCCAGAAAATCAGGGACAAAAGCTATCAAAGGTCCTAGCAAGCGCGGTGCCCTGGTTACGAGCTGGCTGGGACACAAAGAGACCACGCAGACCATCTCCCGCCGCCCCAGTGACCACGCATGCGCATCACCTCCCGCCTACCACCTCCCCGGTGACCACGCAAGCGCACCTCCCGCCTCCCCAGGTGACCACGCATGCGCACCTCACACCTCCCCAGGTGACCACGCATGTGCACCTCCCACCTCCCCAGGTGACCACGCAGGCGCACCTCCCACCTCCCCAGGTGACCACGCATGTGCACCTCCCACCTCCCC